TGGCCATTGTTAATGGTATTAGCAAAACCCTTACAGGCTAGGAACACTTCATTATCTTGTCCTAAAGCTTGTGCAATAGAAGTTGTTTTGTGTTTATTTCTGCATGATTGCAACATTTCTATTCAGTAGTTCTGCAAGAAGCCATTGTTTTACACCTTCTACAGAAGAAAGCAGACAGGCTCTTCAAGAATATCACTGTGGGCCTGTCTTGTCCTTCAGGCTTCTAAATCTAATCTTTGGTGCTTAAGACAAGGAGACAGCTACTGATAGCCAGTGATCTGCAGAAAGAAAAAAAAATGGAATGAAGCAAGGCCATCTCTTATTTCACAGTTGGTCAACATTAAGTCTTCAAAAAGTTTTTAGTATACTTAGAGGAGCAGTACCTTTTTATCTAGAGGCTTTGGTATCCTTTGGGAAACCACTCATCAAAATCAGCTGGAGACCATTTGCAAGTGAATCAGGTTTAGAGTTTGGTTCAGATAAACACAGTGATGAAACAGTTGCAGAAATATTAAAAATTCTAAAGAAAATGTATAGCTAGAGATATCAGCTAGCAAGCTGATGGCTGAGAGAGAGGGGTGAACTCCAAAGAAAAGTCAGGAATGTTAACAGTTTGTAGATTGTGCAAGGAACTCTCCAAAAAGGTAGCAGGAGAGCAGAAATACCATCATGGACAGGTCTGAGGATGAGCCATGTTAAATTAAAATGGTGCAGAACAGTAGCAGCATAGTTACCAGTTGAAGGATGAATTAAGACAGCAAGGTGGGAGGTTATGTGCCTGGTGGGACATCTATGTGAACACCAACAACTGTAATTTTAGGAGTGGAAAATGTCCAGTAGATGCAGTGGTGCAAGGTGACAGCTGCATAGAGAGAAAGAAGGAGTAGTGGGTATTGAAAGGAAAAAAGTTTTTAATGGTTTTCCAACTATTGTGTGCCAGACATGAACAAGCAGCATAACTAAGTTACAACTTTCAGAATAACTTTGATTTAACAACCAAAATAAAAGCCTAATAAATAAGGGATTCTTTTATCAAGAACTTGTCATTGATAGTGGTCAGTGTCAAGGGCACCAATAGGTCTAATTGTCCTGACCAGCGACCTCACCTGTGACCCAGCCACACCCTTCTCCTTGGTCCAGGAGGTCCATTTAAGCTCAGGGCTGAGCACATCAACTTCTCTTAAGTCACAGGAAGGCTAGTCTTCAGCTCTCTCTTCAGCCTTGCCTCTTGGATGCACTTTGCCTCTGTGTTATAGCTGTGTTTTCAGCCCAGTCTACTGCTCCTGGATGGGCCCTGCTGCCAGCTCATGGCTCTGCCTGCCCTATCTAGGTACTGTGGGACTGTGTCATGTAAGTGCTAGGTCGCCCTCGGCTCCTTGCATAGCCACGCTTGTGCTCTTCCCTGATGTTTGGCTGCAACAGCACTGTTGCAGGTGTCTGGTGTTTTCCAATAATAATATTCTTTTATATGTACTTTTGTTATACTATGATTAAAAATAGACTAGTGGGAAAACTTTACTGCACTTAAAGTACCAGGAGAACTTTTTAAGACTTAATGCTTAGAGGCAGATGACCCAGTGGTAAAACTAGACCTATATGTAACAGAGTTTTCACCAATTGCAGAAAGCTTGCCAAGCAAAGCACCTTTCAGAATAAAGATGCCCTTTTGTACAAGCTTAAGTTAAATTGTTGCTCCTAGATGACACTGTACTGGGAGTGAAAGTCAATCTGTGTATCAGAAGTGAGAATACAAAACAATGTCTTCTGAAAAAGACAGAGGAATAAAAAGCTGGCTAGCACATACTTGCATTAGCAAGGATATGTAGCGATCAGAAAAGAAAAGTGAAATTAGTATGGTGAAATAGGAGATTAATCTTAAAAAAGCAACTGCTGCGAGAATAGCAAAGGCCTGGACAAACTGGCACTATAATGATCATTGCTGGAATTCACTGCAGCCTGGAATTTCTCACTTGGATATTAATCATGACTGTTGTGGCTTTGTTTTAGTAATAAAAAAGGTCATTCTCATTTACTGAGTAGCAAACTGAATCCAACATGTGGTAATAGCTAAGCTGGCTGCAGTATGAAAGACTCTGTATTTTATCTCCAGATGATCTACAGATGTTATGGCGTTACATTTTCTGTTCATCCTAAAGGTACAACAAGGTGTTCATTGCAGAAGATGTTCATGATCATTTGCATTCCTCTGCTGTATAATCAATCATATGCCTTAACAGATGTAGGTGTTGTGCATTTTTTTACAGTTGGCTATGGCATTAGGAAGTGCAACCAGCTGATTTTTCTTAGGCAAATATCATCACCCTAGAGTAAACAGCTGTAAGCGGTGTGAACTTCATTGACTTCATACAGACTGTCCACACTTCTTGATAGTGTATGCTAAAGATCTCTTGCTAATTAGGGTATTTGAATACTGTTTGTTTACTGACTACTTGGACTGTAAAATATTGGGTGTTTCATGGTATCATCTTCTGGGTTTCTTCAGGCTGTGCATGGTATCTCTGCTACTTGCCATGAAATAATGAGAAACTTGGAGTCCTCTACAGAAAGAATGGCAGGATGTTTTCTATCTTAATAATCTTAAACTGACTTTTCTGAAAAAAGACAATAGCAATAGGAAGGCAGGAGATGAGAGTATCTCTGAGCCAGGAAGCTCTCAAAGACAGCAACAGGAATGGATTCCCTTCCTAAGAATGAGCCAGAGCAGATGGGAGGAGACCTAACTGAGGGACATCAAGAAAACTTACTTGAAAGGTTAAAGATTGTCTTGATAAAAGTTGCCATTGCCAGTACTGGAATGTGTAGTTAGCAAAGTGTAATCACTACCAGAATAAGCTCTGGTTTCAAGGCTTATGTTACAATGCTTTATACTGTAAAAAGGCTGCTATTGTGAATTTATTTTTTACCTGTCTTGCTCTTCACTGCTGATAGATGGCAGCAAATGATGAAAGATTTTCAGTCTGCATTCTATTCCCGTTTCTGTAGAATCCTTTTTAAAAACAAAATGGTGCTGATCCCACACTAGCAAAATGTATGACCCCTGTAAAAGGCAAAGATTTGATTTAATGTGTTATATAGATAAAGCAAATGATGAAACTTTGTCCATTGTGTTCCTATTCCCGGTGCTACTGGAAGTTTTCTGATTCTGTGTGGGTATTTTTGTTCTGCACTGAATTGAATGGTTGTTTCTCTAGTTACTTGGTGTGTCTCAGAAAAACAATCCTATTTTTTCTAGGTCTTGATCTATTTTTAACTTCCCTCTAGCCTTGAGTTCCAAACATGTAAACAACTCAGGTTATGCTGTGTTACTGCTAGGACACAAAGTGGTATGTGGGAGGGAGTTGCCTAATGGAGTGAGCAAATAAAATTATTATTTTGATTTTTATTGTAAAGTCACAGTTAACCCACCTTTATATCTTGGTGAGTAAGAGAAGGCTGAGTTCATCTTCTAAGGCTGGTTAAGTGCTGTTTCTAGTGTAGAAGTCTGCCTGAAGATGCTTAGATGTTTTTAGAAAAAGCAAATATTGGTGGGGGGAGGGGAGTTAAACTGCAAGCAGACACAGAAAATCTTTGTGGTATTTGTTTGGAGACTCAGCCTACTAAACCAGTTTCTGGCCTGTATTTTTTCATGTGTAGCATCTACATGAAAGAAATTACATGCAAATGCTCCTGGAAAGGTTTACCAATGAAAACATTAGCGCCAATAGATATCACTGAAGGTCTGGTGAATAGTTTGCATGAGGTGAGCTTTCTATCTCCAAGGCCTGCTGCTCCAGCTGAAGAGTCCAGCACCTTGCTGGCTTTGCTATTTGCCTCAGTGTGGTGGCTAGACAGGGAAGAGAAATGAGCTCTCTGATGTTTTTGGTAAAACCTTAAGTAATGTGGAGATGCGAGAAAAGTTTGTCCTGCAGCCTCACCACGGAGGGATGCCCAAGATAAATTTGGGGGGCAGGGGGTTTATATGTTTTGGCTCTCAACTACTTAACTTTCCACCTTACCAGTCAAAATGACCTCATTTCAGACACGTATGGCAAATACTTTTTTGTTTCAATGATGACTGTAAATATTCTGAAAAAGGTTAGTGCTGGTTACCTGCCATGGGATGCTCGCGGTGGGAAACCCAGTTAGATGTTTACACTTTCTGCACCAGCCCTGGAACAGGAGACAGTGGTGTTCAGACCTTTGCGCTCTCAACGCATTTCTAATCTCAACTATAAGGGGCAATAATATTATGAGGGCTGAGTAAGTACCTCGCGGCAGGCGGTTGGCGGCAGCCGC